AACCTGATACCTGGTGTGATGTTGGCCATTACGTCCGGTATGTGATAAATAATATTACTTTTGATATATTGACGCCTTACTTCTGCCATTTACAATAGACGGCCATTCCTCTTAACACAGGCAGAATAAACAAGGATTTAGAGGAACGTGTCAAAGAAGTACGCCAAACGCTTCACTTTGCCCAGCACGTTTGTGTTAGAATTCGACAAGAATTCTGTGGAAAAGGCATACAGTGAAGCTCTTCTTCGTGCCGCCTACTCCCGCGCATCCTACGCTCAAAGCAACGGCAGTGTTGAAGGCAGTGGCTAGAAGTCCTCTATTTTGACATAGTGTAGTCATGTAGTAATCGTTTACTTTATTACAGTACTTGTAAGCATTTACTATACTCTTAAACAGTGACAAAGGGGTCATAGACTCACATAAGGCGATTGTAAAACTAGCTGGATGACCAACATAAACACGTGATGTTGCTTGCCTTCACCTCGTAAATGTAATAACCAAATCTACCCTTCGTCTCCTGAGCTCAGTAGTACTAGAAAATCTAATCCATGCTATCTATGCATTCAAGTCTGCATTTTTCTATCTGTGACTAATCAACAGCCTTAGTTGATGAGGACAGTGAATCATTGTTTCCAGCCAGCATTAGACACAGTGTCAATGCTTGCATCCGAGGGTATGTCATAGGTCTGACGTGCTGATACTCCTCCTACTAACGAGCTCTTTCTTCAGTACTTGTAGGCACGGAGGTGTACAAGCGTGTGAAGGCTGCAGAGGTAGCAGTCGAGGAAGCAAAAATGAAAGAAAGGCTTGACGACAAGATCAGTCAGACGAAAGCTAATCGCTCCCTGGACGATGCGGAGATGGAGGTAGACCTCCTGCATGCTAAGGACTCTGAAGTTCAGTCCGTCGAGTATTACATCTCTTGAAAGGACGAACGGTTCAATTGGTACGACTTTTACGAGAAGATAGGGAACGGAGATAATTGTGTGGTCTCTTACAAATCCCCAACAAGCCAGGAAATCAGACGTAAGAAATACTGGGCTGTCAAAGAAGAGACGTACCGCATGTGGACAAACCATCTACAGTGATATGTCAACTCACTTCGAATAGAAGCCAAGGACGAGCAGAGGCAAGCCGCTAAGCTCAGAGCGGGGAAGGAGGGGGAATGCTCCCAGTCTGGCTGGTGAGTCATATCACTTGAAGTCTCAGAGATCAATCACTGCAACACAAATCCTCGTTTGGCAAGCGCTCCAGGTCGTCTGCAAAGCGAAATAGCTCAGGAGTGGGAGCTATACCGGAAAATTTGCAGCATGCTATTGCGCAGGACAGAGAATCCATCACCAATGCCTAAAGATTGCCGCCGAAACGCATGGTATGTCGGCTCTGATATCGCGGCTCTTTGTTCAGAGGCTGCCATGCAACAGATCCGCGAGAAGATGGATCTCATCGACCTCGATGAAGACACTATCGACGCCGAGGTCTTGGACGCTCTTGGTGTAACGATGGAAAACTTCCCTTTCGCGTTGGGTTCGTCCAACCCATCAGCACTTCGCGAGATGGTCGTCGAAGTACAGACCGTCAAGTGGGACGATATCGGTGGTCTCGGCAAAGTTAAGCAGGAGTTGCAAGAGACGGTTCAATATCCGGTCGAACACCCCGACAAATTTATCAAGTACGGTATGTCGCCTTCAAAGGGTGTGTTGTTCTACGGTCCTCCAGGTACTGGTAAAACACTGCTTGCCAAGGCTATTGCGAACGAATGTCAGGCAAACTTCATTTCGATTAAGGTTAGTTTTCCAACGCATACATTTGTCTTTTTTTAAGTGATGTTCTGTTCCAGGGCTCCGAGTTGCTTACCATGTGGTTTGGTGAATCGGAAGCCAACGTGCGGGATGTCTTTGACAAGGCGCGTGCAGCTGCACCGTGCGTGATGTTCTTCGATGAGTTAGATTCTATCGCAAAAGCGCGAGGCGCAAGCGCAGGAGGAGATGCGGGTGGCACAGGAGATCGCGTTTTGAACCAGTTGCTGACGGAGATGGACGGTATGAACGCAAAGAAGAATGTGTTCATCATTGGTGCGACCAATCGGCCAGACCAAATTGACCCAGCTTTACTCCGTCCTGGTCGTCTGGACCAACTCATTTACATTCCTCTGCCCGACGAACCTGGACGTCTTGATATCCTTCGCGCAGCCCTGAGGAAGTCGCCTGTGGCGAAGAATGTTGACCTTACGTGTCTTGCAAAGAGTATGCATGGCTTCTCTGGAGCAGATTTGACGGAAATTTGCCAACGTGCAGCAAAACTCGCGATTCGCCAATCGATTGAAGAAGATATCCGTCGAGCTCGAGAAAAGAAAGAGTCGGGCAATGGAGATATAGAAGACGTCGAAGAGGCAGATCCCGTGCCCGAAACCACGTGCGAACACTTTGAGGAAGCGATGGAGTTTGCTCGTCGCTCCGTGTCTGACCAGGACATCCGACGGTATGAGATGTTTGCTCAGGTACATGAGGCAACGATCGGATTTTCCTTTGTGGTATCGGATCATTTCCTTTTTCGGACAGGCATTCTTCGATGTGCAGGAGGATGATAGGTGATGGTCCTGGCACACAAGCATGGTATTCAAGCAGCTGTTAATTGAGTATAATCCACCTATACTACATTGTTTGCTTGAGCTGCCTTAGATGGCCCGAAAAATAATTATTCTTGTGTAAGTACTAAAAA